AATTACTGTACATTGATACTGTTAAAAATTACTGTACATTGATACTTTACGCCGTGCACGTCTCTCCAAAAAAATCTAACATCGGCCAATATCGAAGCAAATCGGTTATTTCCAGAATGTTATTTTTTCAAATTATTGGGCATTAGATTATTTACATTCGTTATGTTCTAAATTTCGGTTATAAACGGTAACCGAAGATTGTGAAAAATGATATTCCGGAAATAACCGATTTATTACGATATTGGCCGATGTAAGAAATTTTTGGCGGGAAAGCATCACAGTCTAAGTGTTACCGTGCATTAATACTGTACACTGTGAACATTAACGAACTACTGTTCATCGATACTGTACATCGTCTACGTTGAAGAACAACTGCACATGTGTAACATGGTGTGAATCTAATCGTTCTTTCCTTTTTGCTAGATAAATCGTTCGTTCGTTCGTCCGTTTAAACGTACTTTGGGATATTAGGTGATAATAAGAAATGTTCGAATCTCAGCTTGAAAATGTGGACGATTATTTTAGTCATGTACAACATGTACAAGTTTAACTTCTCGTAATAAGAGTGATAGTGTAGACTACGAATCTCTGATATTTCAACAGCTAGAAAATGTTCATCATTTGCACAACAAAAGAAATTACCAACTAATTCTTCAAACAGTATATTTTTATAACGATATATGTGTTCACAACATAATGTATGTGCGGTTGTAACTTACCGTAAATTAAGATAGCGATAGAAAATACATCGAATTTTTGCCTGTACAAGTATGTGCAGTTGAGAGTTTCGAAATTTCCGCTTTAAACGTAGGCGACGAAATTAAATTACGAACAATGAGTGATGAACCTTCGCGTTCAAAATTGTCCATATACATACCATTTCTAGCGGATTTAGTATGACCTTAGTATAGTGGCTGGTTTACGCCACTTTGTATCTTTGCTTTTTCGTCACCCAAGTTTGTTTAGTTTCAATATATTTATTTGAGCATGTTTTTTAAAAAGCCTGCAGCTTATCAATTAGAACCAATATAAGTTCAATTTACTTTAACCAAAGACCGCAATTTACTGCAATCACATGAGGAAACTTGGTAGCTCGAATCCACAATCCCTTGTGTTCATAGGCATGCGCGATAACCATCATTTAGTAAGTTTTATAAAAAAAAAATCAAGTGATTGTTTTCACAATGACAAACCAGTAGTGTTTGATACATGTATATCTTTAATACTATTGAATAAAAAATAACTTTTGATTTGGTATTAATATATATTTAGATATACCTCTTTCGAAACGTCGAAATAATTGTAATTCTGATTTACCTGTTAAAATAAACAAATATATTTTAATTCAGGTATGTCTTACATCTGTATATAACGATATATCATAAATGAATACATGTGTTAGGATGTAAATCAAATGGCAAAATCTTCGTTACTAGGTGAGAAAATGATAACTAGAAATACGTTTTTCACAGGTGGTATTTAGCATAAGGCGTCCTTTGTACATTTTTTTCTACTGTACAATGGTGTTAAATCAGTGGATAAATATGTTTTTTATAATTGATATTTTCTGTTTTCGCATTAAAATCTCATTAGACAGTAAAAGAAAGCCGATCCTTTGTAAAAAAGTAAAATAAATTGCATCTTGTAAAGGTCGTCAAAAATATAATTAATTGTTATGTGCAAGCATTGTATTTTCTACGTTAGAAATACATTATACATCCTATGTGAACACGGTGAGAACATTTTAACATCTTAACTTCATTTTTTATTCACCACCGCAATTTCTCGTAGTCAGTATTTTAAGTTCACAAGTATACATTGACTTACAAAAAATATTGAATTCCTGATTTAAACTGCATGTATACATAATGATACGTGCCCATACATTGTATATGAACATAAAATCCTTTTTTTTTTTCTTAAGATAAAATCTAAGAAATGATAAACAAATGTCATTTAAAGTGAACGATGTAAAATGAAGTTTCCTTTATTTATTTATTTTTAGTTTAAAGTTTTTAAATAATTTTACATGACACTGTAAAATAATTCTTCTGCAGAAATTGTCGGATCTTTCTTTCTTTCTTTCTTTCTTTCTTCTTTTTTTAAATATATTTATAAATCATGACGCATCGCACGTACAAATAGAATTTATTCACGTGTTTTTTTTTATATATTCATGATCGTTATCCATTTTATTTAACGTTTCATTTCAAGCCTCAACCTACAGAATTTGTATAAGGGGTTTGCCCTACTTTGAATTTGAAATGGTACATTCAAAGTAAAAATGGATATCAGTATCATAATACATTAATTAATTCAACTACTAACAATATAGAACCTAATCAGTGAGTACACAGATGTACTGACCGGCCTGGTTCAGTACTGGTGGCAAGTATAAATCAGTGTTGGTGGTCCTAGGGTTAAATCATAGCATTGATGCACAATGCCCTCATGCTGAAATCTATAATGTTATGGACATATGAGCCGCGTCACGACAAAACCAACATAGTGCGTTTGCGACCAGCATGGATCCAGACCAGCCTGCAAATTCGCGCCGTCTGATCAGGATCCATGCTGTTCGCTTACCAACGCTATTACAAGTAGAGAAGCTGATAGCGAACAGCATGGATCCTGATCAGACTGCGCGAATGCGCAGGCTGGTCTGGATACATGCTGGTCGCAAACACACTATGTTAGTTTTGTCATGACGCGGCTCAAATACTGAAACATTTAAAAAGACAGTCTATCTCATTGAGGTAAAATAAATTAAAATATTTCAATATTTAAATGTTAAGCGTTTTTTTAAAAACTGTCGCTTAATAAGAATATCATATTATAAGCGATAACTATTTTCAAAGAAGAAAAACAAACATTCAGATTTTACTCAAGCAGATGCTATAGACCTTTGTCAAGGCTTTAATTTTACTTCTATTTTGTCCCTTTAAACAAAAAGATAATTTTAGCACAAATAAGTCACTTTTTTTAAAAAAATTTAAGCAATAAATTAATTTTCAAATGATAAAAATCTAATTATGTTTCAATTATTTTTAAAACACCCGAAGCATTCTTTGTAGATTTGTTGATAGTGTAAATTGATTACTTTAGTTGTAATTCTCCGATCTCCAATACTTCATACTGTACGTATGTGATAAATAATGCAAATGAAAAGGCGCTGTAGCTTTCTTATGTTCTATTTTCCGTAAAGAATTAAACAAGATAAATCTTAAATAAAAGACAGTGTGATGGTACTTGATTAATAAATTAACAGAACATCGCCAGTTAAATTTTCGGATTACTGTTTCAGCGCAATTCGTTCGATTAGAAAATTACACAAGGGAAACATTATTTAACATTATTGTGTATTTTAGTGTAGTCATTTTAATTGGTGAAAATGTATTGAAATAGACACAACGGTAGTTAAATTGATATTTTCAATTCAGAAACAACATCTCCAAAGGAAATTATTATTCCGAAAAGGTTTGTTGAATTAACTTTATTTTAGCTATTTGCCACCATAAATAACTCAAACGAGAATGATAAAGATGTGTTTAAATAGTAACCTTGTTTTTTGTTGTTGTTTTTTTGTTGTTGTTTTTTGTTTTGTTTTTGTTTTGGTATTTTAAAATAAAGTAATCGGGCAAACACTAGATAAAAGTAGCTCAAAATATGGGTAGTTTCCAGTTCAACACATGGTCTTTGCTCATAACCTTATAGCGGCGATGACGTGTTGCACTCATACCCTTGTAACAATGCTTCATGGGCAATGACGTGTTGCACTCATTCCCTTATAGCAAAATGATTCATGGGCAATGACGTGTTGCACTCATACCCTTATAGCAAAATGATTCATGGGCAATGACGTGTTGCACTCATACCCTTATAGCTAAATCTTTCATGAGCAATGTAGAGCTGAATGCATACCCTTATAGCAGTATTCATGGGCAATGAGATGTTGCACTCATACATTTATGGCGATATATATACTACAGCGCAAGCAATGAAATGTTACACTCATACCCTTATAGCGATGTGGTGCTACACTCATATACTCTCATTGCGATATGCTTTATAAGCAATGAGGTAGTGCACTTATACTCTTATAATGTATGCCTCATGAGCAGTAATGTGCCGCACTCATATACCCTCACTGCGATATGTTTAATGAGCAATGATGTGCTGCACTCATACCCTTAGAGTAATATTCTTAATTAGCAATGAGGTAGATTGCACTCATACCCTTAAAGAGATAATGCTTCTTGAGAAGTGAGGTGCTGCACTCATGAATATGCCCATATAGCGAAATACTTAGTGAGAAATGAGGTGCAAGCTCGCCCATGACGACATTTTATAATTGAAGTAGATTTAAGTAAAAAAAAAATTAAAAAATGAGAATGATTTAAATAGTAGGCCTATAGCAAACACCTTAAGTAGAACGAAACATTTTGCTTGGAGGTTTTAAAAACCATGATACTGCTAAATACAGGTGACCGCTGTTCTTTGAAGACTGTATGTAGATTCTAGATCGATGCTAACTCAAAACCAACATTATATAAGCACATTTTTGTTCAAAAGATAAGCGTAGACCTATGTTTCATAATGATTTAGATCTACTGAGTACACCCTTATTGAATGATAAAAAGTTATGTGTAATGATAAAAAGATAAAAATTATCAGTTCTAAGAACTCTAGGACATTTGAAAAATCGAGCATAAATTTGTTAGCCGGGACTTTATATTTGCAACTTTCCTTTATATATGACAAGAAAGAAGATTACACAGGACAGGTCAATAAGTATGAGAAAACTTTTGACGTGTGTTTCTTCGTTTTCCAATAGATCTAGATCTATCTGACAAATGTTTATAAGAAGTCCATCCTCCTTCTAACAGTTCCTTTCGCGTGAGAAGGGCTAATATAAATTTTACATTTATTTTATTAACAATAGTTAGGCACTTAGATTTCTTTATTACCCCTGGTAAATATTTTTTTAAACGCAGTGGCCGGGTGCTTGAAGTTGTCATAGCTACACCATTTTATGAATACGTAGTGCAGATAAAAACAGTAGCTTGCAAAAACATTACGTAACAGATGACGTCACAGCTCAAGGTTGATAACGTGGTCGCCAAAACACGGAAGTAAGTGAAAAATTATTATTTCATGAATTACAACATTTAAAACACATGTTTACAAGAGAATAATAATAACATTAATAGAATTCCCAACATCCAATGTTAATCTGTTGAAAACTATGACAATTTAAACAAGATCTAATAAGAGTAATAAAAATTTAGAAACAACCAATTTTCAATCACAACCTAAATTCAAACACATTCTTAATTCTGTGGCGCTGAAACCATGTCTGACTTAAGTAGATCTACATAAAGTCACTTGTTGTATTAACTTCAACACTTGCAGGAATGCCATACTTGATTATTTGTCAGATCTTCTCAGAAAAACAATAAGAAAGTGTTTGTTTTAAGTGACACAATATAAATTGCCCAACTTAAACTAGATTTATATCAAAATAGTCACATGTTTAAAATAGTGATAAAAAATTTCAAAGCAAGTTAAAAAAATTTATTAAGTATTGGCTACAGAGTTTTACCATTTACCTCAGTCTTAGGTGTATTTAAAACATTTATTTATATGATGTACCACTAAATATTCATCAGACTTTACGTAGGGGTCCTTATTATTGTTATCAAGTTTTTTCAAGTGATGATTGAAAAATATATCTTTTGTAAGCAATCCCATCTGGCAGATCTAGACAATTTTCCATATTTGGTAATATTATAAAGTGGGGAAGGTAGAATGACTGTAATGATTGTATGCATTTATCATAGATCTGCCTTTTTATAAGCATTGTCATTAACGGTAGTCATACCAATGCATTGTACGGTACAATGTTATAACATTTAGTGTAAGTTTTATAAAATCTTGAAAAAACTGTTGAAAATTGTTGAAAAGACTGTTGTGAAATTTTCTCCAATTTTAGTAGCCCTGATTTATCTTGAACAAATTCTTTAGTGGTAATTATAATGCCGGACTACTTTCTTATAAATTCAGCCAATACACAAAAAAATTAAAAAGGAGTTCTTCCTATTTATAAGGTTAAAAAAGAGAAAAAGTATAGATCTATCTATTATATAAGAAAAACAGAAAATTCAAGTTTTTTATTAATAGATCTACAGGATTTATTTTCATCTTGTGGTATAAAAATTATTATCATATTTCACTCGTGGCTCCACTCGTGAAATATTTATATCCATACCACTCAATGAAAATAAATTCTGTATTTAAAGAAAAAACTTGAATATCCTCTATATATTTCACTGAATGGACAGCAGATGCAATATTTTTACGAGTAAAAAGTAATATTTCATTCTTTACATGCAAAACAACAATTTTTCTATTAATTTTATGCTTTTAAGTGATTTAAAGTTATTTTACTTGTTTTGCCGCGTAACGAACGCCATGTGCTCTTCCTCATGACGTCATCACATCATGAAGTCACCATATCGATGTTGGAATTTAGTTCTTCGAATTTTCTTACATTTTTAGCACAATGTATGTAGTTATTTACTTGCTTTTACTAAAGAAGTATGATTTACATACGACGGAATTTATTCCTGTTGATAATTCCATTTAGTTATGAAATATTATTTTCACCCGTATTCAAATAGATCTATAGTCCGGCTACATTGAAAATTATCAAATATAATTTCACTGTGAAAATTATCAATATAATTTCACTTTCCACTGCAGAGCATGTCTAATAAAAAGATTCCTAATGATAAAGTTATGTTCCACGAAAGCTGAAAAAATCTCAACGTGTGTCAACCAAAAATTATTGAACGACGTAAAAGTCGTTTCTGTCGAAAAAATATCTTATACGGCTTTCTAAATAGATCTAAATCCCAAGTGAAAAATATTTATACGTAGGGGATACTTGTTTTGTGTTTTTCATGTTTAATGTGAATGTCAATACTTAATTAAGTGTCGTAAATCAATACTGAATATTAACCCGGAACAACCAATATTCAATCAGTTAAGCTGTTTTAGCCAATAATAAATGGAAGGGGAAATTATGCTTTAATTTTATTTAAGATATTAATGCATCTATCAACATTTATTCGTTTTAAGGTTGGTACATTTTCAACATGTCTTGATCTTTCTTAGAAAAACAATAAAAACGATATGACCCACTCGGGTCATTCCCAGGAATATTTCAACCTAAATTCAAACAGCAGGGTAATTAGCCGCAAGACACAAGTGAAAATACGAAAATATGTTTCACTGCTGTGTGAAATAATTTTTACAGTTAAAATACGGAAAATTAAAGAACGCATTTTATTTCATCAATGTTTCTCAGTTTTTCATTTATAATTCTATATAATAAATTTCGATCTTACATGCAAAACACAAATATCCTCGATATAATAATCTTTTATAACAGAGGCCCCACTTTGGACAGGAACACGTTTTTAAATATATGTTTAACCTTTTCCCTCATATAGACGTGTTTTGACGGCCCCCCCCCCCCCTTTAAGGCCTCAAATAGTGAAAAAATGACCTATTTAGGCCCCAAACACTGTTTTTCGTTTGAAAAATGTTGTTAAAATAAGTGACCACTTTTTCGGCGCCGTCCCCCACCAAAAAGTTACATCAAGGGGTTTCCAGAAGGGGGACGTGCCCCCTTCTGTTTGGGAATTTTGAAGGGGGCGGCAGTCCCCCTCATCGCAAAGAAAATTTTGGACATGTGACAGGCTAAAAATGGCCCCAGGCTGATCTTAGAGGAACTATAGTAACCGACGCTGAAAAGCCTTTTACTCTATCTCAATTCATTGAGAAGTTGCAGCACTTTGAAATCAGTTTTGGTGGAAAAAACAATGCAAAGTAGTGATTTTTGGCAATTTTGAGACGTCCCCCGTTGCCATGGTAACAGGAAATTTACAATTGAGCATGCTGTTACAGAGGCTATGGTCTACATTTGTGCCAAGTTTCATCAGTATTGAAGCTTTTTTCATAGTTTCATAGCAGTTTGAACTTGTTACAGGAGGTTTTTCAATGAAAAAGGCCATTTTTCGCAATATACTCTTGGGGTAAAAGGTTTATTAAAAGAAAAATAAAAAATGTCAAAAAAACAACAATTTTTCACCAAAATTAGGTGTCAGGGCACGTGTTAACATGGAAAAACTAGTTTTTGGGTAATTCCAAGGTTTTTCATCATTTTTTGTTAACTTTTTCCCTTATATAAGCGTGTTTCGACGGCTTTTTGCCCCGCCCCCCTTTTTTTTGAGGCCTCAAACAGTGAAAAAATGCCCTATCTGGGCCCCATCATATTAAGAAATAATTTTTCTTTGCTTATTGATACATCCATAACCAGCTTCTTTACATTTATATGCGCATAAAACGCTGTGCTTTTCATTTTATGTTTTGTTTATGTCAACACATGCCGATTACACAAGCAAATGTATGCCTAAAATTGTTTACCTTCACTATAAATCATATCTGAATCTTAACTTTATTGTCTTACCTCATGTTACCGGGCAGACACTTGTGTAGATATCTTTGAATATTGATAAAAGCATAGTAAATAATAGAGGCTAACATTCTGATAACTGTACCCGTCTTGCTAAAACAATTTTAATGATCTGTACCTACATGTGTTTTCACTGAACCATAACTTGCGAGTCACTTTTAATGATTTTTACTGTTTTTGTCCTATGTTCCAAATTTTAGCGTGCAGAATATGAAGTTAATGTGTCACAAGAGCATGGCATATCTTTTATTTTATATAAGTAACTGATACTGCACATGAATGGATCTTCGTCATGTTTTCACTTTCCATGGAAATACCAGCATGGTAATACGAATTAGAAAAAAAAATTCTTGACAGGAATTATCAACTATCAAATCGTATCTTCATTTACCATTCGTTTTTCTTTGGAAAGATATAAAGCTAAGATATAACATAAGTATTATAAACGTTTCTACCATTTAGTTCAACTGAATTGTTGTAAGTTTTGACGTGAACCCTATTCGAATCAATCCTCCTCGAAAGATCATCACAGGATTTTTAGCAACATGTTGAAACACCTACGTTGATTTCATTATGCTTTTTAAACACAGTTTTTATATTCTCAAATATACCTTGACTTTCTATTTCTGACATGTACGACTAGGATCACTCTTAATAAATCATTTTAAGGAGTTTCCTGCATATTGTCGTTAAATGTCTAAAAGGTAGTTTTCACTCTTGCAAGTTTATTTCCACTTATTTTTAAATTGTTTACAATCTTGGCAGTGTCTAAGGTAACTTGTTACTTTTCTTTTCACACAACTTAAAAAGTTTATCATTGGCTATAGTTATATTAAGTCAAAAGATACATATAAATCCAGTTCCTTTCTATAAATTGCCATATACATGTATTTCAGATGGATTTGGATGAATCATTTGTAGTTGAGGGTCTTGACAGTAGCTTTCGTGTAACAAACAATCCCCTGAAAACACAACATAAATGTGGGATCTGTCTATAAGTGTTGACACCAAGTTTAAACTTAAACTCTTCGTCATCTGAACCAAATAAATGTGTCTTCTGTCGATGTGTGAACATCTTTAAACAGGCGTTTTGATTTTTTGACATTTCTTGATTGGAGGTTATTTTTCTTGTCTTGAAACTTTTACTGTTTTTTTTAATATCGTTTGCTTTTCAAGTCCTTTTTATTATTTTTTCAGTTATTTTGGAATAATTCTAAAGTCTTTGGTGTATGATTATATGTTTCTGTTATTGCCGTCAAACTGAGAAATTCTTATGATAAGCTTTTGTTCTTATGTCCATATTGTGAATAATATATTATATAGCGTGTCCAAATTTTTTTGAAGAGAAAGGGCAATGTAGACAACTGCATTCTTTGATTTTGCCTGACAATAAACAAATAAATACGTTAAACAATAAACGTTTTCTCCATTAAAATCCTTAAAAATACTCACAAGTCAGGGTACAGATAAAATTTGTAAACTCACAAGTAGGGTTCACAATTACCACGAGTGAAATATGATAACTTTCATACCACAAGATGAAAATAAATCCTGTAGATCTATTCATAAAAAACTTGAATTTTCTGTTTTATTATACTATATATCTACTTTTCTCTTTTTTAATCTTATAACTAGGTAGAACTCCCTTTTAATTTTTTGTGTATTGGCTGAATTTATAAGAAAGTAGTCTTACAAGACACAGGTGAAAATACGGAAAATATGTTTCACTGCTGTGAAAAATATTTTTTACAGTGAAAATACGGAAAATAAAAGTAGATCTTCGCATTTTATTTCATCAATATTTCTCAGTATTACATTTATAAGTCTATATAATAAATATCGATCTTACATGGAAAACAAACAAATATCCTCTATATAATTATATTTTATAATAGCGGCCCCACTTTGGACAGACACACATTTTTAAAGATATGTTTAAGTAATCAATAAAAAATCGGAGCGAGTGAAAAAAAAAACGTTGATTAACGCGATAAAATTAACATGGTATACCCTAGGGGTTTCAACGCAAATTAATAGATTGCAAAGTATTGATACAACTCAGTTATCTTGATAAATCATAAACGTTTTATGTTTTGTGATATTACTGAACGCTAAATAAAACCGGTGTAATATATCCGAACATGCAGACAGTTTGTAAACACTTTTCCACAGGGAAATAACGTTTTAATTTTCATACAGAAATAACATACATATATAAAAGGAAAACACTAACGTATTTGCTTTTTTGTATTACTTTTTTAGTTTGGTAAATCAGCAAACTATTAATCAGTCTAGTAAATCGACAGAAAAAAAACATCATAAAACAGTATAATGCGTTGATACAGCATTATTTTGTTTGCCTATTGACCTTAATTGATATCTCGACCTTTATTTCAATGTTAGGTTTAAAGAATATCCAAATTATACAAATCTATTGGGGTTTTCTTTACTAATACTTGACATATCTATAGAAAATTTGTCCATTGAAGACCAATCCACTTTAAACCTATATTTGTTGATAAAGAATACGAATGGTATCGATCTATAACCTGTTAAAGCGGCATGCCTCCAGATGAGTAAATAGAGGAGTTATAATGATATTAAAGTGGATCGGTCTATGATGGGGTAAATCACCGTAAATGTTTTTAAATTATTGGTAAGTGATTTAGTATGAACATACATAATGATGATGAATAATAATAGTTTGCTGTACAACACTTTATTATCTGCTATATATTTATGTCGGGTCATGTATTCAACACTTACCAACAACATTCGTATATAATTCTTTTGTGGTTGTTTTCTTGTATGATACTGAATACTATCAACAAAATTAGTTATGAAATAACAGATCTTCTAGTATAGACCAATTCACTTTAAATAAAGGGGCGGCATGGCCGAGTGGTGAATCTAATGATCGCTAGCCGCATGGGTTCAAGCCCCGTCAGGGGCAAGTCGTTGTTTCCTTAAGCAAGAAACTTCACACTCATTGCTCAGTACTGGTTGGCTCCAGAAACGGTTTCGAAAGTGTGTCTTTAAGCTTTAAGCTTCCAACACGAACTAAAATAAATTCTGTAAAAAAAAAACAAATAAAGAGTCAACAAATGCAACTTCGAGAACTTATGTGAATTATTATGCATGTATCCTTTATTTTTTACTATCTCTGAATTTATAATCACGACATCTGCTTGTTAAAGGGACTGAATGATTTTCTATTATCATCTCATTTGATTCACAATTTTAGATTGTATAGAAGATATGATGCCGGTATTTGAAATGTAATCTAGTTTTTGTTAGGATCAATTGTAATAGATGTTTGATCCGCAAATTCATTTAAATCATGATAATAGATAGATAATGATGTTGTTAAAGTTATTCAGCTTGATCAAATGTATCAAGTTAAAACTAAAACTTGTAGCTCTACCAAGAATCAACGAATATATTCCATATATAATACCACTTGTTGTCAGACTCATTTGTTAGTTCTGTGGGACCTTTAAAGTAATTTTACAGAAGTGAAGGATTACTTTGTCGATATAAAACTCTCGTTTATTTTTGCCATGCATTATTTGTTTTAAAATATCTACTGTATGTGCTGTTCTATGCATACGATGGTATAGGAACTTTTGCACAAAGAGCATAATCGGACATTTTCCCCCTTGGCCCTTAGTAAAATATTAATTTGGATATTTGCCCCCCTCCCCCCGCCCCAAATAATCATATTATTCTATGTATAAAAAGAAAGAACACTCAAAGTAAACAATTTAATAAAGAAAGTCTCTAGTCAAAATATGCAAAATATGTTATGTGAAAATTAAGCAAACAATGAATGCATCAACAGGGGTGAAATTATCCAGACTCCTACACGTACTTCTGCACGCCCATGCATACTTATCGATTCTGTACTAAAAAAACACACCTCCTCGAAAACAGTAGAAAAAAAAACAGTAAAAAAAATAGTAGAAAAAAAATCAGTAGAAAATCAGAAGCTAAAGGGTGTAAGAGTCTAATATACTGACTTCTGACTTTCCTGAACTCTTTCTTGGACCACTTGTGACCATTTATTTATTTAACGGGCCAATATCCGTAATAATTTGTACAAACGCAGTTTATTTGAAATTAAAAGAAATAAAAAAAACACGACAGTTAGATCTAATTGTTTTATTCCGAGAAAATAAAACTTGCTTCTTGATTCCAGTGGACTTTGTAACATGTACATAAGAGAAGCAACTTAGTATAAGTTACTGTACTATACAGTACAGAGACAGGTATTTCAACGACAGTAATATTAAAATAAATTAAATAGTGATACTATTAAATCTTACCAGTTCTATTACAATATTATGTTGTTGTTGTTGTCGTCGTTGTTGTTGTTGTTATTGTTGTTTTCTTTTCTTTCTTTTTCTCTCACTCTCTTTTTTACTTTACTTTTACTTTTCTTGTTATTATTGTGATAAATAAATAGTTATCATATTATCAAGCATAATATTGTAAATAAAAAACATTGATACACGTCACAGAACTAGCCGAAAAGTGAAAATGGTCCTAAAGTGAATAATGACCACGGTCTGAAAGAGCCTCGTAGCCATTATTATTTATTTTGCGGGCCGATTTTCACCTTCCGACCCTATTCTGCCTGTTGTTTTGTTGTTGTTTTTTTGTTTGTTTGTTTTTTGTTGTTGTTTTTTCTGTCCTTTGAATGGATAATTGTTATTTTCTGTTGTTGTGTTGCTATTACTGCTGCTGCAGCTGCTGCTGCTCAATATCCTTAATAATAAAGAATAAACTTACTATCTATTTAAATTATTGAATCTGTCAATAATCATTGCTATATTTTACAGTATTCAACAAACGTGTTTTTTCAGATACGTTCATGTTGTCAGCCGATAATGGATTTATAAGCTCACACGAATGTTGCTCACAAGTGAAAGGACGCGGGAAAAATGCGTGGATCTTTTTTCAGCAACAGATATTCTAGTTCCAGGAAACGAATATTTAAACTGATATTGGCACCAGTTGTTACTGTGTATCTGTTATTTCAACTAGTGATCACAGCTAAAACGTCAGGTTAGTTAATTTCATGTTGTTGTTGCTGTTGTTGTTGTTGTTGTTGATGTTGTTGTAGCATTGTTGTTTCTTCTAGCTCCTCATAGCCGGTGTAAAGTTGCATTTTTTAATTCATTTTATTGTGATTTAAACTGTTTTATATTTTTGAAGACTTATCCCGACAAACCAGTTCTAGTACGGTTTTACCTCACTATATAGAACGTAATTATCTTGCTGATTGAACTAGAGTAGATCTATTAAATCTATCTGCAGAAAAGGGAAGTCTTTTCGTTAATAGTTCCATTTTGAATAATTGCTACAAAGTCAGTTTTATAACATGAAATGAGAAGACGGTAGCATGTCGATGTTGGTCTTTAAAGCGTTTTTAATAGACGTGCTCCTTAATATCTGAATCAATGGTACTATATTTCGGACTAGCACCAGAACTCGGGCACGTCGTCACATCATGTGACATTAATTTGTTCCTTCATCTATTCCGTTTTATAATATAAACATGGTATACATTATCATGTGAGGTTGCTAGTAGGATTTCTAGTGCTGTATACTTGAGAAAATATTATCTTATAACATATCTTATCATTCTCTTTGTATACAAATGTATTTTTCTCTTACCTGATTAAGTATCAAATTGTATTTTGTGTTATCATGACATTGTGACATGTGATAATAGTTTTGTTATCTATTTGCATGGCGATGTACAATGTACAAGTCTGATCTGTTCTATTTTATTTCATTTTATAATTTCATTTGCTAAAACTGTCAGATCACATATTATTTCAATTATAAATTATATTTTTAAAAAAAAAGATAAATATGCAAATTTGATGTAGTTTCATGTTTCGGGTTATTTTATAGCTAATTCAAAATTATCGTTAAAATTGTCACATTCTGTATAGAAAGAAGGTATGCTGATATTATAACAATTATATTTCTAATTTATCGGGAAATACAAAATGTATTAAAGCAATATGTTCATCTTTAGCAACATATGCTGAGATGAAACATATGGTTAAGATTTCAAACACGAATAAATGGGGAAAAATAATTGAAAATAAAAAATACATGGATAGTTCATATGTGTTCAATATAAGTAATTACATGTATGAACTTAATTATAACTGTTCGTACATAAAAAAGGATACGGACACAAGCCATCCGGGACAAAATCTCTTAAGAACCCTCCTATGAAATCTACACGTAGGCCAACATTAATTTACAAATGTATATGCTGCTTTTGTGTTTGTTGTTGTTGTTTGTTGTTGTTGTTTTTTTGGAGGGGGGGCGGTCAAAAAGTACTGACCTTAATAATTAAAACATTGACCCTTTCATAAGATTATAGCTTATGTATATCCTAAATTTTATGAGAGGACTTTTGATATACTAACAACTTTCATGGTAGTGTTCACTATGTCGTTTTAAGATAAGATGTATTTTGGTCTGAGACGAGAGACGTTTGTTCTACTAACATATATATCTGAAAACGGCTGCTTTCTGCCAAACGATAAATTGGCCAAGTACATGAAGTAAACCGTCTTTTAAGGCGAGGGCCCGACGACACGACAAGTATAGGCCACCGATATGAAGATTCTACCCGACGACACGATAATTCTACTCTAATTTGTGTCTAAGCCTATCAAAATATCGTTATTTCGCCTAACTTGTATGTGTCTTCGTGTCAGTGCCCTGAAAAGTCAAAGGTGAATACACCATAAGTGAGCATATTATCGTGTCAACAACGCCTTCGACTTTTGAGGGGCAGAAGGCACAACATTGCAGAAATCAGCCACCATTTAATGCTGAACTAATTTAATCGCTTCTATGTATCACACCGACACAGAGAAGTTAAGCTGCGGTCTCACTTACTCCCGGCAGAGTCCATGACCATCCCGGTAAGTTACCGGGACGATCCGGGGTGAAATTATTGTTGCGGTCACACTTACCCCGGCAGCACTACGATACAACTAACCACCCAGGATGCGCTCCGGATCATCCAGGCAGAGCCCAGGTGAAGCTACGGTTCATGCCGGTGCTTCCCCGGTCGTTCCCGGATGACGCCGGAAGAGCCCCGGTTCACCCAGGCATAGCCCCGGTCGATCCAGGCAGAATCCTGGCAGAGCCCAGGACGATCCAGGCAGAGCCCCGGTAGAACCCCGGTGGATTGAAAACCCCCGAAAATGATAACATTGATATATAGTTTTTATTATGCCCCCACAATGTGGGAGCATATAGCGTTGCAGTCCGTCAGTCCGTCCGTCCGTCAGTCCGTACGTCCCGAAATCTTGTGAACGCAACTCCTCTTAAACCGGATGGCAGATTTTGCTTTAACTTACAGGGATGAACAACCTTAATGTGTAGATGGTAGTAAAGGAAGGGATTTTCGCTGCGATCAAATTTAACAGAATTATGGCCCTTTGTTGATTTTTTCACTAGATACTATGTAGAAATTTTGTGAACGCAACTTCTCTTAAACCGGATGGCAGATTTTGCTTAAACTTACAGGGATGAACAACCTTAATGTGTAGATGGTAGTAAAGGAAGGATTTTTTGCTACGACCAAATTTAACAGAATTATGGCCCTTTGTTGATTTTTTCACTATATACTATGTAGAAATTTTGTGAACGCAACTCCTCTTAAACCGGATGGCAGATTTTGCTTAAACTTACAGGGATGAACAACCTTCAGGTGTAGATGGCAGTAAAGGAAGGAATTTTCGCTGCGACCAAATTTTACAGAATTATGGCCCTTTGTTGATTTTTAGTTTTCAACTTGTGGCACATGTAGTCCAAAAAATATTTGACCTAGAGTCATAAGATTGACAGAACAGTGGCGTGTGGGGGCATCCGTGTCCTATGGACACATTTCTAGTTTAATATAATATCTATTGTTCCAGGATAGTAATTTATGATGATTTTCTGAAAAATCCTTATGCCATACTGGATAGAAGGGAAATGGGAAGGTTTTTTTTCGCAAATTGTCGTTATCCTTGAATTGATCCTGGCTTTGCCGGGGCTCTACCGGGATCAACCGTAGCTCAACCTTTATCCTCCGGGGCTCTGCCTGTAGTTACCGGGGCTCTGCCGGCATATACCGACGCTCTACAGCTCTACCGGCTATATCATACCCCGGATCATCCTCGGTTTGTGCCGGCAGAGGTACGGTGCTTCCCTGGTATAATCCCGGTCGTTCCCGGCAGAGCTAAGGATGAAGCCGGCAAAGCTATACCTTCCCGGATCATCCCGGACCACCCCGGTGATATTAAATATTTTGTAACATCCGGGGTCGAATGCCGGATGTTCCCGGATCATCCCGGACGTTGCCGGCAGAGTAAAATTTTACGGATGTACTCCGGTTGTGTACTCCGGTTGTTCCCGGTCGTATCCCGGTCGTTCACGGATCACCCCGGACGTCTACCGGGGCTATGCCGGGATGTAAGTGAGACTGTAGCTTTAATTTGGTGGCTTTCCAGCTTTCAGGGCTGGGAATCAAAACTGCGTCGTATCTTACAAAATGTAAACAAACGCCGCCATCTTGGAACGAAAAACGTATGTTTTTGTTTATAACTTTTTTTGTTGGAAATGACTGATAACCAGATATATGTATTAACACGCTACACTATTTTCCGCTTCGTTCGGTATATGTTGCTTGCACAACTATTTTGTAAAACAAAAGTTATAGCGAACTTGCAACTCGAAGCGGAGCAGAATTTTTATGAAAATGTGTGGATACGACGCAGTTCATGTTGCTTTATCTATTGTTTTTTCCTTCAAATCAATTATATATTTGTTTCAGAGTTCACCATAAACTTCGAAATATTATTTTGCATCATTTACTAAACTTTCATTAAAAAGAGATGTTTATTTTCTAAGAAAATAATGAGTTTTACGAAATGATACGACGCAGTTGAAAATAAAATATGATACGACGCAGTTGTATTTTTGGCAGTCTTTTCAACAGGGATAATTTTGGCAATATACTTCTATTTTATGGAATAAACACTTGCGCTAGAAAAAAAACAAGATCATTTGCGGTGTATAGCAATGTTCTGTTGCTTTTGATTATTTAGAATACATTGTGTCATGCCCATTAACATTTAATTTGAAAGTTTACATTGCGGAAGCTACTTTTTAGTTAAACATGAACATGTTACCTAATTGATCATAATATCTGAAATAATTTCTTATATTTTCCTGTATGTTTAATATTATCCCTAATTTTTTTCGCAAACAAATGTAGAAATCTATTAACTTGAATTCATTTTGGCTAGCTACGCTCTAAGTTAATTGTGGTTCTGCATGTTCTGGGTAATGACTGTTTTTTTGTGGTTTGTTTTCAAACTTTCACTCTACACATTAGCTTTACTAGGGGCTAGGACCTTTGTGCATTATTTCAGGCAAAATGTTGCATCTGCAGAGAACCATCGATATTTTGAAACTAGCTAGATAGGTTTTCCACACGAAAGAATAAAAAGTCCCTGGTGAGTCTCGAATTCATAGCAGTTCAGTTCTAGTGATTTGAATTCAATTAACATAAAAAGTTGCTCGGCCTCGGTCGGACAAACCTGTCTGATTTTTTTTAACAAAATGTGTTAACGTCAGCTGTACAAATAAGCAGCTTTTTTATTAACTTCTATCGTGAAGTTTTAAGATTATAAATATTTGAATTAATTATAAAGAGAATAACATTTAAATTTCTTATTTCTGTATGACTAGCAGAGAAATTTTCAATGTTAAGGAGGGGGGGGGGGGAATCATCGTGAAGTCATTTTCTGAAAACTTTTGTTTAAGTTTTCAGGCAATTCATTATCAAATAAAAATCACACTTTTGTATGAAGGTATATCTAGTCAGTTGAAAAATCGATGCGATAATCTGACCTTAATTTTCTGTTCAATATTGTGAAAACTTCTTCAATACTGTTGAAAGATCATGTCTGCCTATATCTGTGTGCACAGCGTAAAATACCTTTGCAAAACGGACACATTCTTTACAAAATAATTTGTAGTTGCACCATATGTAACTCGATTTTGAAAATTTAAAGTTTTTTAAAGAAGAATTTTAGAAAAGAATGTATGATACTTGAGTGCAAATATAGAAAATTCATTCTGTAGACCTTTCATCGGCGATAAAGAAATGCAATACGACAAAATCAGCGGTAAAGTTCCGCGGCGCTGAACATAAATGACTAAACGAACTAAACTTGCAAAAATATATTGTAGCTTAACCATTTATAAAACCAATTTGCACATAGCTCTCTTCCGATAGCAAGAGACCTTTTCAAAATTTGTAATTCTTTCTCTCTTTTTTTTAAAAAAAAGGTCATTCCTGATTAATACAGGGTCCAGGAGTGGTTACACTGGAATTTCTAGCACTCCCATTTCTAAATCGAGGGAACAATTTTAGAAGTATGCTAAGGCAACACTGGAACACGTAATATGGGTGTGCGATCACGTGTTTCAATGTATATTGCATTTGATACAGCTTTCCGGAATTTGTAGATGCTTATGATAGGTACTAAAATGCGACCGAAAAATGCAGCCTTTATAGAATTGTATTACATTTTCATTTTTATGGAACCAACGAGTGACCTCTGCTTTTGACTTAAGTTGTAAACAAGAAATGTTGTTGGACGTTATTAGCATACCTAGCACATAATTTAAATAGTTTAACCAATATGCAGCCTGCAATGAAAATACAACTGCGTCGTATCATATTTTATTATGCCCCCACAATGTGGGAGCATATAGCGTTGCACTTGTCCGTCCGTCCGTCCGTCAGTCCGTCCGTCAGTCCGTCCGTCAGTCAGTCCGTCCGTACGTCCCGAAATCTTGTGAACGCAACTCCTCTTAAACCGGATGGCAGATTTTGCTTAAACTTACAGGGATGAACAACCTTAATGTGTAGATGGTAGTAAAGGAAGGAATTTTTGCTGCGACCAAATTTAACAGAATTATGGCCATTTGTTGATTTTTTCACTAGATAACTATGTAGAAATTTTGTGAACGCAACTCCTCTTAAACCGCATGGCAGATTTTGCTTAAACTTACAGGGATGAACAAACTTAATGTGTAGATGGTAGTAAAGGAAGGAATTTTCGCTGCGACCAAATTTTACAGAATTATGGCCCTTTGTTGATTTTTTCACTAGATACTATGTAGAAATTTTGTGATCGCAACTCCTCTTAAACCGGATGGCAGATTTTGCTTAAACTTACAGGGATGAACAACCTTAATGTGTAGATGGCAGTAAAGGAAGGAATTTTCGCTGCGACCAAATTTTACAGAATTATGGCACTTTGTTGATTTTTTCACTATATACTATGTAGAAATTTTGTGAACGCAACTCCTCTTAAACCGGATGGCAGATTTTGCTTAAACTTCCAGGGATTAACAACCTTAATGTGTAGATGGTAGTAAAGGAAGGATATTTTGCTGCGACCAAATTTAACAGAATTATGGCCGTTTGTTGATTTTTAGTTTTCAACTTGTGGCACATGTAGTCCAAAAAATATTTGACCTAGAGTCATAAGATTGACAGAACAGTGGCGTGTGGGGGCATCAGTGTCCTATGGACACATTTCTAGTTTTCAACTGCGTCGTATCATTTCGTAAAAATCATTATTTTCTTGGAATATAAACATCTCTTTTTAATGAAAGTTTAGTAAATGATGCAAAATTTTTTTTGAAGTTTATGTTGAACTCTGAAAACGAGAACATAATTGATTTGAAGGAAAAAACGATAGATAAAGCAATATGAACTGCGTCGTATCCACACAATTTCACAAAAATTCTGCTCCGCTTCGAGTTGCAAGTTCGCTATAACTTTTGTTTTACAAAATAGTTGTGCAAGCAACATATACCGCACGAAGCGGAAAATAGTGTAGCGTGTTAATACATATATCTGGTTTTCAGTCATTTCCAACAAAAAGAGTTATAAACAAAAACATACATTTTTCGTTCCAAGATGGCGGCGTTTGTTTACATTTTATAGGATACGACGCAGTTTTGATTCCCAGCCCTGAGCTTTACTCGTGGAGGAAAACATCAAACGCCCTCTTCATGCATTATTCGAGTCATAAACGGCCAACCAACTTTCGGTAACATAGCTCTTGTTCGTAGCGTTGAACGCGAATTATTTACCACACTAAACATTGGGAAACAGATGCCCTGTAACTAGATTATTTGGTCAGCATTTTATGAAATAGGACCGTTTCAAATCATACTGAAATTTCATGAACTAAATCTTACATATAATCATATTATCAGTAATCTACATGTCCACATTTATCTTATTTAAAAAAGTAATCGTTTATCTTCCTTAAACATGACTGTCGCATTTTATAACATTAAAATGAGTTTTGTCACTTATTTCATACAATATATGAAGATGAAGTGATCCTGTTTTAAGTTTAAAAGTTTAAAGAGAATGTGAAAGTTTAAAAATTGATTTTTTGCACAAATGATTGATATTAAGTGACATAAAACTGAGATTTCATTTTTACCTCTGTTTATACACTATATGTACACTATTTGACGGGATACACGAGACAAGAGATAGACACGTGACAAGATACGGAAGTGACGCAGGATACAAATTTAACAATTACTTCTCACTTCCCCTCGGAGCGTGCACGTCAGGGCATCAGCAGAAGATTTGAAAAACCTTAGGATGGCGAAAAATAAACAAATTTCAGAACTTGGAGTGCAGACCAGCTGCCGGTGTCCTGACTAATGCCGAGGGGAGTGACCCTACGTTGTAGGCAGAAACGACGAGGACGGTGTGCCAGGGTGCGCGAGCCCCTTGCACATATAGACGGCTAGTAAGTCAGAGCTTTTGCTTGGCACCAACTACCCTTTTAAATCAGTGACACAAGATATATCAGTGACACAATTCATATCACTGACAAAAGTTATATCAGTGACATAAGATCCAAACGTCACACAAGATATACCAGCGACGCAAGATAATGCATACACGTGACAATGGGGATTCGCATGGCACAAATTACACAATTAACACAATGTAAACACGCGACATAGGATATACCAGTGACACAAGATACATTTGTGACATATAAAATATACAAGTGACACATGATACAACCGTTACACAAGATAAGCAAGCGACAAAAGCTATAAACGAGACTTAAAAACAAATGTCAGAAGTGTAACAAGATAAACGTCACACAATCTACTGACGTAACACAATATTAACACGTGATAAAGATATACACGTGACTCAATATACACAAGATTATCAATATGGTAAGATACTCGCTTTACTCAAGAAACATAAAAGCCACAAGATATACAAGTAACATAAGATACACACGGCAAAATATAAATAAGTGACACTCGTGACACAAAAATACACACACGACACAAGTCATACAAGTGGCAAAAAAATACAAGTTACATGTGTTACACAAGAGTAGCGTAAGACTCGAAGGTGACACAAGATACACAAGGCGTTCACGTGACACCAAATATGACACAAAATACACAGGACGTACGCGTGACATAAAATACACACGTTATACAAGATGCACAAGTGGCATACTGTTCTATTTTATTTTTATTGTATATTAATGAATACTCTTTCATAATAAATTGATTTTTATGAAGGATTGAAAACTCTGAATAATTTATGCAGTTGTGTAAAAAGTTCGTTAGCGTTTATGCACGAGCACGTGATTGGTTGCCAGTGCACGTGTTTGTGAGCATTTTCTTGCGTATCTGTGTCCTTAAAGCATTCGTTTAATTAAAACTGAGGTTAAGTAGTTTAAATATTTACATCTACAAATGGTTTGTTTCAATATCATTATTTCTTTTTTCTTTTTTTTTCAGGAACCAGTTTTAATGTACGACGTCATAGACTCGCTAAACAGGTATCGTCTTAATTAATACAGTATGGAAACAAATAATATTATTTCAGTTATATCTACTTGAATTTCTTAACATTTATTATTCACATTAAATGCAATTTACCAACTTAAAAAAATAATATTTTTTTGTATTTTGTTATTACCAAATTGAACCTGTTTTGTTTCCGAGTGATTAAGTTCTTTAACTTCACACCGCTTGTCTCTTAACGTTTTGAGTTCGAATCCCGCCAGTGGCTTTCGATTTTTTTCATTTGAGTAATCTATACATGCAGGCAAGCTTAAGGAACGTCGGTGGTTCTAGTCAGGTGCCCTTTATTTTCTGCAATAATGTACGGATGAGCACACTAGATTCTTCTTCACCAGTAAAGCTGGGAAGTCGCCATTTGATCTATATTGTATTAGTTCGACGTAAAACCCAACAAAAAAAGAATTAACAACATGGCCTTGATAATGACAACGATATGCAATTTACCTATTTAGATCATTGAAAGTGTGTTCCTAATTTGTACCTATTTGGTTACATACAATGGACTCTTTGTAGAAGAATGCCGATATTGTACACACGTAATAAGCTGTTTAGGTTGCAATATTTAACCTACATGTTATTGTGTGAAATCTTGTTAAAAATTAATAAAACTGTTTGGAAATTTGAACTTGTAATATTTTGCTAGTATAAATTTTAACTCAATAGATACAATTAGGGTCAAAACGTTTTATTCAGTGAATGTGCGCGTTTATATATAGATATATTATGACATTTAGTGTCAATATTGACCAAAAATGAGTAACGATCGGGCGCCAATATCTTGAAAAAATCGTTTGTAAACAGCTTTTTAATAGAACTTTATGTCTCTAAGTAAATAAACATTTAAAGATACTAAGTTATTTGAAACACCAGCCACAGTATTTCTTAAGAAAACTTCACATTTTGTTTCCGTACGCTAGGGTGAAACAAATACCAGTTGTTAAAACTATTGAATGATTCTGTCGTCGAGGTCTTACTTTTATATGTTTAGCTTATGTTGGTATTCAAAGAAAAAACCCTACAGTGAACAAACAAGGCCTATCAAACAAATTGATAATATTGGGAATATTTAAATATTTTCTATATATTAGGTCGGACACGATATAACGTTTACATTATTTATCTGTCCTACTATTGTCAGAATATAGAAGAATAAAACTGGGTATGGAGATGTTAGATAATTCAGATTATGAAGAATTCATGTTATGAAAATGTTACGTTTCGAGTTCAAATCTGCAAGTGTGCACATTTTTTAGTATGGTTTTTATTTTCAGAACGGGTTTTATACTGTGTCACGTAACTTTTAGTTTTCTTCTTATAAACCTGTATTATTTTATTTTTTTATTTTTTTTATTTTAATTTATTTTTTTGCACAATTTAAAGTTAGACTAATGACGGTTAAGCAAAATTAAATGTATTAAATTTTAACTGTCATGAACAGATTGACAGTAAGAAGAATTTTATTCTTTTTGAAATTGCAAATTCCATTCACCACATTTTTTTTTTTTTTTGCTCAAGTCATATAATATTATATTTTTCCTTCCATTAATCACAGCTGTGTTGTTTGTAACTTAACCTGTTGAATGCAAATATGTGTAAAACTAAATGTTCTCAAATAGCATTGCGTGAATAAAAATCATAAGAACTGAAATGTAGTTCTTTGTAAAAAAAACTAAAAAAAGGGGGGGGGAATGAAAAGAAAAAATGCGTTTTGCAGGATTCGAACTAAGGTCTCTACCCTGACAAAGAGAGCAGTCTACCACTACACTATAGTAGTATAGGCGCCGGTTTACCCCCACGACTGCGCATGCGCGGCGCCATATTGGATTCTATATTTAGAATGACATCATCGTTCTATTTTTAGAATGACATCATCGTTCTATTTTTAGAATGACATTATCGTTCTATTTTTAATCTCCCGGAAGTATACGGAGCTGACTTGTATACGCGATTTAGAGCGTGAATCGCGGACATTGAGGGTCAGTCCTCGGCCCAAGACGGGAGATAAAATAAGTATCCAAGCATTTCAAAATTGAATGGCCAAAAATAATGATTCCTTTTGTTTTTATATTTTCCCACACTGCGTACAGTGTACTTGACAACTGATTTAATTATTACTTTTAATCAATGTTCTCTATAATACACGTTTAATTTAACTGAAATAACTAACATTTTAAATGTATTTCTTCATATTTTAAATATCACCCTTAATACATAATTTATCTTATTCATTTTCAAATAAGGTTATTAACATATTTATTTTAAGTATTTCTTTATAAAAACATTTTAATAAAAATATTACCTCTTTACTCCTTAAGCTCCAGCAACGAAATGACTCCAGTATTAAAAAAGTACTATCCCTTTAATGCGCATCGCTCGGATTGATGACGTCAACCAATGCAAATTAAAACAAGCTCCAACATGTCGCGGCGTCTATTTATTTAAGGCCAGCTGGGCGGACAATTTAAAGTAAACATGTCAAATTTGATCCTTTAAAGTCGCCGCACTGTTTGGCGTGTGTGATTTAAGAGCAGATGTGCGGACAAAAGGCTATTCAGTTGTCAAAATTAATCCATTCAGAATGTCAACAATGTTTGGCGTATGTTGATTTAAGAGCAGATGTGCGGACAATGGTCCATTTAACTGTCAAAATTAATTCCTTTAAAGTCGCCGCAATGTTTGGCGTCTTGTTTATTTAGGGAAGAATACTTTAATAATGGTCTATTCATGTGCCAAGGCTAGCTTGTTTACATTATTTGGCGTGAGTTGATTTAAGTTCGAAAGAGTTAACAAAGGTCATTTAAGTGTTAAAATGAATCTCTTTAAAGTTGCCACTTGGTCTGGCGTATGTTTATTTAGGAACGGATATGCGGACAATGCTCCATTCAAACGTTTATCCGTCTAAAGTTAAAGCGGGTTAGCAATAAGCTATTGAAGTTTCAGTTTACCACTGGGGCATAATTTTAAACTCATTTTGGAAAAGAAATGCCAACATGATTTTAAAACTGATCACCACAAATGTGCAAAATTATAAAAAAAAAACACTATTATCAATGGTCACTAAAACCAAACAAAAAATACAACAGAAAAGGCGTTTTTTCGTCTTTTGTGCAACATTTACGATATACAGTTTGATTTTTTTTTCGCATAAAATGGTAGACCTGACAGAATGCTTCGAAATAACCCCAAGGTTCTCGATTCGATTTTTTAGTTGTTCTCGAGTTATGGCCCTTTATCGATTTTTAAACTATTTTTTTCAAAAGTCCATAAAACCCTTAGATTTATATGCCGTTTTGAAAGATCTTTGCGCGAGTAGATACAGAAAATGTATTATTATATGGATCTATCTCTTACCGTTTTTGAGATAGGAGAGTTTGAATATGGCAGACAAAATCACTCATGCATATATAATACGTATAACTTTTTTTGTTACTGGACATAACATAGGCATGTTGCATATCAAACGAAAGGTCTTGACAAATGCTACGAGCTCGTACTGTTAAACCGAGAGTGAAATCACTCATGCGTAAAAACATTAAAATAACTAAAATAAGCTTACCCCAGTCTTTACTCCTCGCCTATTAAACTATTTATGACAAATTTACGACAGGTTTAAACTGGTATTGCTATTTTGATCAGCCAATGAAATTGAAAAACGATGACGTCTAACAATAGACAGCCTCGTTTTGAAACCCACTCTTTTTCATTAACCAATGAAAAGTGGAGAAGGATAACTGGATAAATTTTGACATAAAAAACGCCTTTTTTGTCTTTTATGCAACACTTACGATATCGATTTTCAAGATATTTTGTTTCATTTGATATACCTTACCAAATGCTTCAAAATAAACCCTAGGTTCTCGATTCGATTTTAAGCCGTTCTCGAGTTATGGGTCCTTTAGCGATTTTTAAACCAATTTTTTCAAAGTCCATAAAAACCGTGAAATGTATATACCGTTTTGAAAGATCTCTGCGAGTAGATACAGAAAATGTATTATTATATGGATCTATCTTTTACCGTTTCTGAGATAGGGAGAGTTTGAATATGGCAGACAAAATCACTCATGCGGAAAAACGCGCATAACTTTTTCGTTTATGAACGAAACATAGGCTTGTTTGGTATCAAATTGAAGGTCTTGACGAGTACATTTTACTAACGCGATCAAACCGGATGTTAAGTCACTCGTGCGTGAAATTCATTTATTCTCCACAACCAACGGACCGATCTTATCAATACCTGTATCGAACGAAAGGTATTACTCACTAAATTCAGAAAATGTATATTTTTGTATCGCTGACTTGATAGGGCACGAGATATGAAGTAAAATCACTCAAGCGTAAAATGTGGAATGACGCCTTCCTTAGTCAACATAACCCGGTCATGTTTGGTATCGTACGAAATGTTTTAAGGTGCTCTTTATGAATATGGACTAAAAATCACTAGTGCATAAACGCTCTTATTTCTATTAAACATTCTTCATTGAAAATACTATACTTGAAATATAAACTCAACTTACTGCGTAATGATGTTTACTCTTTGACGTCCAATCACCAAAATGACTGAAGTCACCACTGCGATACATTATGCGCATGCGCTGATCTAAATTTAGAAATGACATTGTCCAATCTAACAGCAGTTGGTCTTTTCTTACGGACTGAATGTAACCAATCAGACAGAAGATTTATTTGACCAATGATTTTGGTCACGTGACTATTTATAACAACATAAATAGATGAATAAACGTCATGCCAAAAATAGCAGCCAATCAGATTTTAATACGTGTGTATAAAAAAAGAATGTTTTTTCTGCGTATATTTTATTACTGAAAACAGGATTTGTCATTTATTAATTTTCCTGCTCCTTCACCACCACCACCATTAATCTCCTGCTCCTTTACCACCACCACCACCACCACCACCACCACCGCCGCCGCCGCCGCCGCCGCCACCACCACCACCACCAGGAACCATCACCACAACCATCTCTTACCGTTTCTGAGATAGGAGAGTTTGAATATGGCAGACAAAATCACTCATGCAGAAAAACGCGCATAGCTTTTTCGTTTATGAACGAAACATAGGCTTGTTTGTTATCAAATTGAAGGTCTTGACGAGTACATTTTACTTACGCGATCGAACCGGATGTTAAGTCACTCGTGCGTGAAATTCATTGATTCTCCCCAACCAACGGACCGATCTTATCAATACCTGTATCGAACGAAAGGTATTACTCACTAAATTCAGAAAATGTATATTTTTGTATCGCTGACTTGGATAGGACACGAGATATGAAGTAAAATCACTCAAGCGTAAAATGTGGAATGACGCCTTCCTTAGTCAACATAACCCGGTCATGTTTGGTATCGTACGAAATGTTTTACGGTGCTCTTTATGAATACCGGACTAAAAATCACTAGTGCATAAACGCTTATTTTCTAATTAAACATTCTTCATTGAAAATACTGTACTTGAAATATAAAACTCAACTTACTGCCTAATGATGTTTTACTCTTTGGACGCCCAAATCACCCAAATGACCTGGAAGTCACCACTGCGATACATAATGCGCATGCCGCTGATCTAAATTTAGAAATGACATTGTCCAATCTAACAGTAGTTTTGGTAACTTTCTTTCTTACGGGATTGAATGTAACCAATCAGACAGAAGATTTTATTTGACGAATGATTTTGGTCACGTGAACTATTATAACATAATATAGATGAATAACGTCATGGCCCAAATTAGCAGCCAATCAGATTTTAATACGTGTATATTATAAAAAGAATGTTTTTTCTGCGTATATTTTCATCACTGGAACTAGGGATTTGTCATCTATTACCACATCTTATTACAACACCACCACCACCACCACCAACAACCGCCGCCGCCGCCGCCACCCCGCCGCCGCCCACCGCCGCCGCCACCACGCCGCCGCGCGCCACAACCACCGTCCAGCCACTGCCAGCGTCACCACCACCACCACCTACCACCAGGAACCATCACCACACCAGGTGGGATGGTTTCACTGGTGGTGGTAGTGGTGGTGGCGGTGGCGGTGGTGGTGGTGGGGCAGCGGCGGCGGCGGTGGTGTTGGTGGTGGGGCGGCGGCGGCGGCGGTGGTGGGTAATAGATGTGGTAATACGATCGACAAATCCTGTTTCGACGTGATAAAATATACGCAGAAAAACATTCTTTTTATACACACGTTTTAAAATCTGATTGGCTGCTAATTTTGGCATGACGTATTCATCTACATGTTTTTATGTTATAAATAGTCACGTGCCAAAATCATTGGTCAAATAAATCTTCTGT